TTATGTACTAGATACATACTGCCTTGACATTTAGGCCAATTTGAACGTATATCAGCTTTGAACTTTTGACACACATTGCATATATTATTAGTATCGGTGTAATCTTGAACAACCAAATGCAAGGACTTATATTGGCCAAAATAGAGCAATCATTGTATAGCCAGCGATATACGTAGCAAAATACTTCATTAAATTAAATAGTTCTTTATTCAGGAAAGTTACTCACTTTACATTAATTTATCATATTCTTACTATTATTTTGAGGTCATATTAATTTCTAAGTATTTACTTAGCCTACCTATTGAAGAGAAATCTTACATTCTCATTGATATGAGTTACGTTGTTAAAACTGAACTACCTAACACTCCGTATTTAGAGCTTTCTGACAGTCTGTATTCTATAACTTCCGTGTGATTCGTTCTGCACAACGATAACAGATCTCTACAAATAAGTACAAAACATCACAAATACAAACTTAAAACATTCACATTTCTCGAATTCTTAGTTATTTGCAGTAAGTTTTGTTATCACACGTCCGTCCGTCAATCCATTGAACAAAACTAAATAAATATTGTTTAAGATAACTTGTAATGATTCAATCGGGCAGTCTTTGTAATTCACTGAGCCAAAGCTATCTAACGTTTACATTTCCATTTTTTTAAATCTTCTTTAATATCGGAACTTTCATATCAAACAACTTATGAAAATGCAAAATATGAACGCATTGTTTGTTGAAAGCGAGGCTCTGTATAAAATGTCAGTCGTTAACAAATCGGATTACCTACGCACTAGCATATAGAAGATGAATAAATAGGTGTATGTGTGTATGCAATGCGTCGGATAAATAAACCGCAGAGCCCACAATTCACTAGGGATGCTATTTGCAAGCTGTAGGCGAACAAGCAAATACGGACCGGTGAGAGTAATTTTATGTTACCTTACTTACTTAACAGGAAAATACAAGACTACGGAATGTTTAATCTTTTTCTGGTTACGTCTATCTGACTACCAATACCAAACCACCGAGTGTGGTAAATATTTTTATGTTTATAGATATTAGGTACGGTTAGGCACATAGGCACTACGCGAAAATTCTCAGAGCATTTCAACAACTGACTTTTGACAGCAAAGCGTCGGATGCATTACGGGCACTAGTAATAAATCCTTCCAAAGTAAACAGTACAAGGGAAATAAACGTTTCTTTTAATTTCCATGATTAATTGTTGTTTCTCCAATCTCAAACTGTTGAGCATCCTCTTCAAATTATACAATTTTAACGCGCTCTGTGATTCAGTGAAAAGCTTTTTACGATACGTTTTTATAGTTTGATTCGATTTTTATAAAAAGAGAATCTGTTTTTTATTGGAATCGTTCGCGTGTCTACATAGGGGTATTAGTTACAATGTAATTCATAAATAACATTAACCTTTAGAGTCAAAACACCGAGTCAATTAGTTGACTAAACATGTCTATAGAGAGGAGATTAGCTGTAGTGTTAAGCAGTCGTAAAATGTTGTAGTTGATGTTAACACGTGACATACAACTATAAACATCGCCGTGGGTGGTTATTACAATGAAGTGTGAACTGATGTATTTATTACTTCACTACTATTGGGCAGAATATATTTCGCAATATTTTCCTAGACTTTTAACGAATGATGAATGTTACGTGAATCATCGGATAGATCACAATACGCCACGCGACCTCGAACACTCTTTGGTCTATGATTGAGTACGAAAGCTCACATTGCTCACTGCCTGCAACTCATATAACCCACACATACATATAATTCTTAGTAGGGTGGTATGTACAACATTCAAATGATTGTAGGTACTTCCAAAAATAAAATTAAGCATACACACATTTACCTAACTAATATATTGGCTTACTTATTGTATTTACAATAAGTACATTATAACTAAAGCCTTGATGTTATAAATACATATCTACTAAGTTAGCAAAATCAGAATTAAAAAACTTCAATATAACTACAACTGAAATTAAATAGATACACACAGTCAAATCTTTCAATTTTCCTAAAGGCAAGGCAGGCAATAAACGAATTGTTAGGACTATGTATGATGTCTCTACATTAGAACGAAAGTATAAAAATTAAAAGGAATCGATGGAAATGGATGCCGTCAGAATACTAGACGACCTAGACATGTCTGTGATAATAAAGATTGGTTTAGAGCTTTCTTATTCCACATCGGAGACCTACTAGCACAAATAAACAACTTATTTCATAAAGACTATCCAAAAATAAAGCCTTTTGGCAAACAAGACATTCTGTCATGGCTGACGTGTTGGATATTTGCCAGCCGAAGCCTCCTCGAGTACTTTAGTAAGTTAGCTAACAGAAAATCACATATACATAAAGTTAGTACATTGAATTTTCACCAAACTTGGGATCACCTATTATTTATTACGGCGGTCAAATATATTTTAACAGACACGAGTATTTTGACACATAACATAACATCCTTTTTATCCCTGAAGGGGATGACAGAGGTAACACCCACTTTTCACTATTTGTGTTATGAGTCCCTGTAATAGAGGGTGAGGCTATTACCATATACCTAGCACAATTTCAAACTCCGTGCTACTTCTGATATTTAAAAAAAACCCAATAATACTTTGCCCGACCCGGGTATCGAACCCGAAACCCGGTGCCCGGCAGTCGAACTTGCGACCACTCGGCCAGCGAGGCAGTCATAGAGTATTTTGACCTTTTGATATGTTACAGCTAGATAGATAGATACCTCCTTCTTACTTGAAACTACATACGGAATATAAGATAACTGTAATTAAATTATGCAAATAAAAGATTTGATTTGATTTCTTTTATTTGCACGAGAATAATTTTTCATGATCTTTTTCCGCATATTATGTGTCAACGTATGTAAAAATAGTACCTACTTAACGGCAGGGTTACTTATTTATCACAATTTCAGAGAAATTTGGTAGGCAAATGAATAATACGGTTAATATAGGTACATAGATTCTACAAAATTAAGACTAAACTAAAAAGTGGACGTAACTAAAGAATAGACTATCTACATTATCTACGAAGGGATTTTTTTATAACGGTTACCTACGTATTACGTAGTCGTCTCTACCCTACCCTATTCATGTTTTTTTTCGGATAAAAATTAAGGTCCTCTGCTCCCTGTCTCATAAATTAGAAGCCCATGTCGCGTCTCAATTTTATTCTTCACTGTTGCGTAAAATAAGAGCAAACTTAGAAAAATAAGGATGTGCCTAAGCACATGGATATATTAGTAGATCGACACATGTCATGTACACTTGTACTTAAGTAGGTGGTGGTAATTAATGGATAAGTCTAGTAGTGAACCTCGCTGAAATGCTGTTGATGATATTGATTTTAGAGCTGAAGATTATAATATTAACATCATAATGTTTTGTAAGAAGTGAAAAAGCTAGCTACCCCCAAAAAGAAAGTTTTTTTTATAGGACAAGCCCGCCGCAACCTCCCGAAACTGCTGCAACACCAGTAAGCCAGGATCTGCAGTAAATACAACCGTGAAAACAACGAAACACTAAAGTCCGGCGCGTCCCAGGGACATGAATAACTGTCCCCGCAACGAAATAAATCAGAAAGATATTATAAGAGAACAAAAAAAAACAAAAAGGAAGGTATGTATAAGGGTAATGATGACTTGGCTAACACTGATAATAACATAATTAAGGATAGATGGGTGTTATACTATGTGCACATTTACCCACTCCGTGTAAACTAAAAAATGTGATGTTATTTATGTTTTACTGATAATAAAAACTGCGATTTGCAATAAATGATAAATAGTAACTTCTGAAAACCTTCAAAAGCTATTCGCTGTATTGCTGTTAATAATATATGGTAGTAGTACCATCGCTGTATGAAAGTGTTTACTAATGAAACTAATCAATAATAGATAGCACGCCCGCAACATCGTAAGACGTTGGATCAATATTGGTTTACGTCGGTATTCATGTAAGTTGCACGACGGGGCGTACCTACGAACAACTCACAGGGGATCGGAAGCTTTTTTACGCAAATGCGTTGCTTGTTAAGCCTATTCCGTTTTAACGGGAGAGCCTTTTAACGTATTTTATTGACAATTAATTTGAATATTTTTTTTCTTTTTAACCCTTAATTTGGCAAGACAAAAAAATTTTAATACTCATGTTTTTTTTCACATTTTCGGCTTTATTAGAAGTTGTAGGGACAAGAAAAAATAATTTAAAAAATCTGGAATCACCTCATTTCCTGAAAATGCATGTCCAGTATGCTGGACCTTGCCAGGTTTGCCATAAAGTTGTCAATCATTTTGATGTGCTGTATATTACACATTGCCGAATTATTACTTTCTTGTACTTATTTCTGTTTTGAGCAAGTGCTAAAATAAAATATAATAAAATGCAAAAACAATGATGTTTTGTATTGTATTAGAATTTATTCTTTAATTTTTTATTTTTTATCAATATAATGAGGAACAATTTACTAAAATTAAGTGAGATCAACAATATAATCAGTCTGAATGAAAAGATACGTAACAATTATTATTCTAAATTTCAAATAAAATTAAACAACTATAGTATTCTATAATCAGTCAACATAGTTAGAAACTTTCACTTACTGTGATAATCATAAAAACAATTTCTCTTACGTACTAAACACAGTCTTTGGTTACATTTTAGACAATACACATCAGTTTTATTTTTGATGCATAGTTTGCAGCGACAGTATGACTCTCCAAAACTAGGGAAATGGCCAATACTATCATAGCGGATACTGTCGTCTGTTCGACAGTTGTTGCTTACAGATATACGAGATCTACTTTTATTCTGTAACTCTCTTGCTAATTGGCACCGAAAAGATTTCAAAGGCATGTGCTTCACGGCGCAATTACTACAATCTCTGCGATAAACTAATCAGGCGTTGTTGACACAAATGTCGAGCATTTGGGCAAAGATTGCAGTATACCAACGACGGCTCTTATAAGAAGTCCGATACAACGCAACCAGCATAATCTGCGAGATCGACGCCTCCCATGTTACTATTGTAATGCTTTATGAGTTCCGGACAGTCCACATCAACTCGTGCTTTCATTTCCTTGCTGTACCTCTTCATTTTACCTACAGGGTAAGCATCAGCGTAAGTACTGATGAGAGTGACCACCTTATTATCGTACCATTTAACTGTAGCTACCTTATTGTCATTGTCAACGACTTGACAATAGGAGCCTCTGCCTTTCTTTTTTAAAGATTTATCACTCATCAGTAGTTTTTCACAACCTTTTAGCCGGTTTTGGCGTATAGTGCCTAAACTAAATACACCACATTCGTCTCTAAGGTGTATTGCCAAATCTAGAGTCGAGAAGTAATTATCAAAATATACGACGCAGGCTCTCATCTGTATTTTCTTGCATAAAGCAATGACAACTTTAGCTCCTAAAGTTAAGGTTTCTTCGGCTTGTGTAAACTGGATATATCTGAATGTGTCTTCACCTCCATAAAGCAAGAAGTCATATACAATTCCCGACATGCCTGCTCGGACAAAGTTTTTGAAACCCCATTTATTGGGTTTGAAGGAATTTGCCTTTTTTTCCATTTGTAATCTGTGGGTTTACGTTTTTCGGATATTATGGACACGAGAGTAGGTGTTGACATAGCGCCTTCTCTTAGACCTGGTATTCACGGCATTAGGTATCGGTGATATATCTCCAACAGACGGTATAGAGTGAATGGACGACAATTTTGGAATATTATCAAAATTTACCCGACTGGTCAACGGCAACACTTGGTTGATAATTGGTGTTAGAGGCACTGCTAGTTCTTGATCTTCTAGCTCGCTATTGGGTATCTCATCTTCAGAAGCATTATTCCTATCTTCATCGCCTTCGGAAATATCTAAATTTTCTAATGACGACAGTATAGATGGGGCTTCAGAGGACAAATCGTCACTGTCTTGGCGGCATGTGCTTATAACAATCTCTTCATTCGAACTGTTTTGATTTTCTACGTCTGATAAGGCGTTAATTGGTGGCACTAGTGCCAATAACTTTGATGCCCGTGATGTTTGTTTGAACACCTGCAAACAATACAAATTGTTAGAAAAAATATTACACATAATGACTAAATACGCATCCTAGAATATGAAATCATATTATCAGTTACTTTTCTAAGTAACTGGCAGTGTTCAATATACTACACATCCCAAAACCGCACTAAAACAGTACCTACTTGGCAATGGGAAATATACTGGACAAGCAAATTTAATTCAATATTACGATAAATGCGTAACAGCTATTGTAATTTTAGTTTGTGTACACAAATTCATAGGTTTTATAAAATATATTTAGGAAAGATGAGTAATCATTGCAAAGTAAAATAACGAATAAATCGGGACTTACCGAGAGCGGTCGCGGCACGTGCTTCCTTCCAGACATTTCGGCGGCGACTGACTAGCAATGAGCACGCGCACCTTACGCGTAATTTCATATACATTGTATTACTTTACAAATAAACTAATGGAATTAAAATAAATACAATATAGTTCTAAGAAATAATTGTATATTTTTTTTAAGTTGATGTCCAATATTTTTCACGTTATCGAATTAAGGGTTAAAATGTATGCTTTATTCAAACTCATACCTATCTAGGTACATTAGTCGAAACACCAGGAAGTGTAAACCAATATCGCTTTTTCATTCTCAATGTTATCAAGAATATTATAAAGAAACTCACAACTACAAAAGCAGGCATATTAATCATACTCCTTGAGTACTTAATAACGTTTTCTTCCATTCCGAATACGCTTCCTTTTTAGGTCGGCCTCGGCAGACGAGATGCTGCATTATCGCAATAGGAGTAGCTTCCATTACCACTAAATGCGCGTCGCATAAGAACTACATAATTATCAGATCCATTATGCTAAGCAACTATGCACTATAAGTATAATATAATATACATCTGTACACATTTATCTAATAACAAAACTACAACAGTTATTAGTATGCCTACGTTGCTAATATTATAAAAACAAACAATAAAGTTAGAAAAAGTAAGTTTTCGCGATCATTAAACCGTTTGTTAGTGTCATCTACTTATTAGTTACACAACTGCGATAAAAAATCTATCAGCATTTTACCCAAAATGTATGATGGGTAAAGCTCTGCTTGTTGATAGGTACAACTTAACAAATTCCAGAAGTAGTTTATAGAAATTAGAGATGAAATCCATACAAGTATAATCTACACATGGCTATATTTTCGGCTAATTTATTCAAATAAAAGCAAGCACTGCATTCTTATTTAACATTAATCAAATGCCCGCCTTTAAGAAACAATGCTGTTAATACAATTTAATTTGAATACAATTACTTACTTTCTTTCTTTCTACCTAATTACTATTCAGCCTAATTACTTACTTTACTCACTCATAAGAAAACAAGATAAATCAGACTGATTTTCGTAAAACTTTGTTAAATGATAAACAGATGTAAACACAAATGACGACATTTTATGTTCACATCTGGTGACTTATTGTAATTACAAGATGACATCATAAAATTAACAAATTACTATTAGCTGACTGCTCGCTGTGAAACTTAAAGGAATTGAACAAGCTTCAGCAGTGATTCAGACCAACAATTACTTTTTTTATTCCAAAATTAATTAAGTCGTAATTATGTGCCTGTGGGACTTACATGCCTAAGTTAGGATTCAGAAAAACCATGCGTGGTAAGATACAGATGTAGGATAAAGATGTAAGTAACAATATTACTTATTTGTTTATGGGCCGATTTTACAGTCAGCCGATTTATCAGTTAATTCTTAACTGTAGAATAAAATTGACAGTTGACAATTTTTATTATGAAAGGAATAAATACATATTTACGTACTAAATAAATAGTATGAAAGGAAATATTATGAAAATTGACCCTTGAGGCTAAATAATTCAATGTCAAGTTAAAATTTGTCTGAGATAAATCTGAGGAATAACTTTGAATATTTGACAATTCCTCCATACTAAAAACTATCCTATCTTCAAACACAAAAGTCCAACCATAAAGGTGTACGTAGCAATGTGAAAGAAAGACATGTCCACAGAACACACATTCTATAAGTACAACGTAAACATTAATTGAACAAATTACTTCAGTGTAACAATATAAGTAGATATTAAATTCATACCTATACACTTTTTGAGGGTCCCCCTTAAAGAAAGTGTCAGACTCTTACTGACTAAAATCCACCCCATTCCTACTCCTCCCCATCGAACCGGAGCCCCGGTAACCCGGTAAATTCTCGTTCTGTGTGGCCGGAGATCGACCCGCGATCCCCGACGCCGGAGTGTCCTTCGCGACGGCTGGGCTGTGAAGAGGCAGCGCTTCGCTGCCTCACGCGCCCCGCCTCCTCCTTAGCAAGCATGACTGCTTCTCAAAAGTAGGAGACGGTATCCCAGGCCAGACCAGGGCCGGACCCGAGAGGTCGCCGTCGCCAATCACATCCCTGAGGGCACAGCGGTGCTCAGCCCACGCAGGGCATGCCCCTACAGTGTGTTCCACTGTGTCCTCAGGGCAGTCCTCGCAGTGATGAATACGTACATACTAGGTATAGACTTTTTCAAAAATGACAGTAAAGGTCAGGAGAAAAAAGTATATAAGTATATATGTACTTACATACCTTTGTATACGGACAATGTTGAGATTATTTTAGAAATCCATGCGCATGATCACTTTATGTCATCAACACATCTATATAGATAAATAAAATTGGAGTGTCTGTTTGTAATATTAAAATAATCGCTTTTCACTTTATGCATATTTGAATATAGGATACATAAACCTACCAAAATAACACTTTTTAAATATTTTACCTGTCTGTCTATTTGTACTGGCTAATCTCTGAATGGCTGGACCGATTTTAACGAGATTTTTATTGGCAGGTAGTTAATGTACTAAGGAGTAACATAGGGTACATTTATTTTAGAAAAACGCGAACAAAGTTGCGGTTGTAGCTAGCTGTTTGTAATAAAAATAACTTTACATGAATAGAAGGACTGTTATGTAGGTAGACATCAATAGATATGTATGTATGCTTATCTATACTACTATATTTATATATAGTGGACTTATATGCTTATTTAACTTATTTTTAAAATAAATATTCGCCCAAAAATATGTACAAATTAATTGACGGTCAACTGTGTTTTCTTACAGTGCAGGACTAAATTAACCAATATATAGGATACCTACACGTACAAAATGTGATCATTAACAAAATATTTTAACATAGTAATCATTGGCAAGTTGATTTGAAGATCACAGTTGGATACAAAAAATGCGAGACAATAAATTGAGTCATAAACTATTACCAACAAACTATTTTAACAATCAATGCCAAAATGACTAGCTGCAAATAACAGCCCATAAACTTTCGAAAAGTTTATTGACACAGCATTAACAATATTCGCTCTATTCAAACCGTAGAAAAGCGATCTGTTAGAAACAAAAACGTCTCATTTTCTCAAAATATCTTAAGAAAATACCCAGTAAAAATTAAAATTGTCCCATCCACCTATTGCCAACCGAATGCCGAATGTCAAAGTTGCGAAAATGGGTCACCGGATGGAATAGATGCTATGCAATGTACTGAACAACAATCGATGCAATTTCACCTACATATTTCACATTTACGCCGCCAGAATCTGCCAACGGCAATTTGTAGATTATTTTTGTTTTAGTACCATCCGTAATCCGGGATCACATTCTTATCTTTGAAATTGTTCAATAATAAACATTCACCGTCGTTCAAATAGTTTTATAACATTACATATCCATTACCAAATAACGGTTTCCATTCATTACGACCACTGGAAATATTGACGATGAATGAAAGTGAACTGTTTACCTGCCGTGGTGACCTTGAGGTGTAAAAGACAACGAAGAGGATAGAATCCACTATTGATCCTGGAGCCACGTGCTGGCCAAGTCTTGGATGACCAGCTCTGATGAGGCCAGGATTACGTGAAGTTGTCACAATTTCACAACAAAGGGTTAACACACTGACAGTTAGGCAGCCGTGCCGGAGACCGAAATCGAACTGTTTCTAGTGATAAATATATGGAAGGTGAAAGCAGGCTTTACGCGCGATTGATATTCTCGATGCGGCAGGTCGCGGGCTGATAGGGTCGCGTGGCGGTGAGCGTGCGGGAGCGCTCGGGCGTCGAGCGCGGACTGGCCGAGCGAGCGTCGAGCCGCGTTTCGGCTGAGTCGGCGACGCGCGCTGCCGCTATTTGCGCCCACTGCGCCCGCTTGCCGCCCGCCCCGCCCGCCCAGAGCTTTCTCTGCGCAGCGCAACAACAAACATTTCTTTATTCCACCTGTAACTGTTTTCGATTGCTCGCATTGTAATCATTATGGGGACTTACTTTACGAAATAATACATACTGAGATTAATTTTAGAAACCTAATGGTAATTATCTTCCTGCAGTTCCTTTCAGCCATTTATTTATTTACTTCCGCTTTGTAATGAAAATTGTGTCGTACTATGATGTTTAGTGCATCAATCAAGCATTTATAAGAAATAACAACCAATTAAATAGCGTAAGAACCAATAATAAGTTGGCAAGCATGTCAAGCTGCTTCAGAGTACAATATCATTATAGCATATATATAACTTAAAATCACGCCTTTTATCCCGAAGGGGTAGGCAGAGGTAGGCAGACATTACGGCACTTATGCCGGAATACTGAAACGTTACTCAATTTTAAGTCGTGCTCAAATATCGTGCCATCTCTGTCATTTCACAAAGAATTTGTAGAGATAGAACTATACTTAAACACGACTTAAAATTGAGTAGCGTTTCAGTATTCCGACATTAATACCACTGAACAATA